TTGATGTTAAAACTATGAATTAATGATACCAAAATGATCTATGATTCCAAAGATGTGCAAACCTTTTAGGAGTGTCACAACACATACTCTCAATGCTCAAGAATTCATTCACCTTTATTGAGCAAAATGGAAAGAAAGAATACAAAACAGTTCTATAACATGTAAATTTGCAGTCCTTTTCTGCTCTTTGCACTACCAGTCTACCACTACTAAGCAAACAATAAACAAACAAATCGCCGCCGCCGGCAATGCAAACATAAGTATATATATTTCCGGCCATTTCTAGCGCTCAATGGTTCTTCTCAAGACTCCTTCCACGGCGATATCGAACGCGTCCCGGATTCCATCAATGCCCCTCTCCGCTTTCGCGTATATCAGATTGGGTATATAATCAATCACTTTGTTTCTCATCATTCTCACCTTCTCTTTGCTTATTGTTTCCAGCACGGATTTGATTGATGTCCCGTTTTTAACCTCGTCCCTGTGTATGAAAACAGAGTAACTCTCTGGTTCCTCCGGCAAGAACAGCTTGTACTGATAGTAGGCCGATCTCCTCCAGAAAAAAACCGGGATCGAACCCGCCACCATGCAGTCGAATGTCGACCGCCTTGTCAGGCTGTCGCCGCGCGGCTGCAGGCAGAAGTCGGAGTCCAGAAAGGCTTCTAGAATCTCCGGCGTGCCGTTTGTGCACTTGTCCCGCCCGCAGTCGACGGACTTGCAGGAGCCCGAACCGAGGCACTGGGACAGAAGAAGAGCTCGGAAGTCGTTCTTGATTTTCCGGCGCGGGCCTCCGGCGAAGCAGAAAAGAGTGCTCCTCCGGCGGGCACGCACGAAATCCTGCCACCGGGCGATGTCCTCAGCCGTGCTGGGGTGGAATCCGGTGGGGTAGGGGACGGCGACGTCGTAGTAGTCCCACGGGTGGGCCTCGATGAGGAGGCGCGTGACGTTACGCATTCCGGGCATGAATATGCAATTGGAGCCCCAGTCCATTCCTTCCCTCCTGCGCCAATCCCATGTGATGCGGCCCATGGAAATGAAGTGATCCCGCCCCTGCGATCTCTTCCACTGGGGCCGATCCCCGAGCCAGTCGAACAGCAATCGGCAGTGGCGATCGCGGTCGTCGTTGGTGTAATTGAACCGGACGGGCCACAGGTACTTGCCCAGCGCGAGTCCAGCGTAGAACGGGATGTAGAACGCCGCAGCAGATTCCGGATCCGCCGTCCGGCACCGGTAATTCGCCATCCGGTGGTGGTAGATGAGCTCGAGGGCGAATTGGTCCGTCCAGAACCACGACGCGGCGAGATTCTCCGGCAATATCTCCGAAATCCCGGCGGCCCTCGGCCCGTACCCGTGGTCGGAGAGCGCTTGGCAGCGGGAGTGCCACGGGTCCAAATCGTCGCAGTTTTCCATCAGATCCCTGTTGAAAACCCTAGGAAGGTCGTAGATGTACACTTTGCCGAGAGGACACCGGGGGTCGACGGCGGGGATAGGTGCGGGCTTCGCGGCGGCGAGCGGGCGGAGGGAGTAGGACGCGGTGGCGGAGAAGGGCAGAGTGCGGGCGGAGAAGAAGACGAGAATCTGGAGGACGATGACGGAGGGAAGAATCCATTTGCTGACGTGATGCCGGAAATTGGTGGCCTTAGGGGTTCCGGGAAGCATCAGCCTTCAACCGGATGGGCGATGAATGGCCGGAAAGTTGAGATTTTTGATTGGGTTACTTGCAGTTACAGATGATGATGAGCTCTTAATTAACTTTGAAAACGATTCAAGAACTCAATAACAATGGTGAGGACTGAGGGGATAGCGTTTGTTTGAGTTCATCGGGAGCGAGGGCAAGCCATGGCCGACACTCAAAAATGGTTCAAAGATCTGTGTGATTTTGTTGGGGAGAAATTACTCCAAATTGAGAGGATGGTGATGATGATGAGGAACAGATGTAGGGTTGTAAGTAAAGGTCTTGGTGATGATGTGTCGGGTATCCCTTCCAAGTGACCCCCCAATCAAAAACTAAAGGTCGTGTCGGCGGCACGTGCTCCCGGCCAGGAATTAGACTCTTTTACTAAAAAAATGATCCCAAATCTGGTAGAACTCTCACTAAAACTAAGATGTAAAAATTCATTGGAAAGTCCTTTTGATCTGGTGGAACTGTCACTAAAACTAGAATGCAAAAACTAGGAGCACAGTTGTTAGGAACTAAATTTGAATCACATTCTCCATGTTTGTTACTAAGGCCCACCGACAATTGACTCTTTTTTGCCAACTAGTATATCAAGAATATCTTCAAACATAGCAAAATGACTTATTATCTGTTACAATTTAACAAGTATATACAAAATTTTACGTTCCAAGGAGTTATTCAAAATTTGACTAGATTGCTAAAAAATGAAAACTTGTTATTTATAACAAGCATGCTAAAATATAGCTAAATAAATATTAATGTGAATTTCTTTTGCAATGATATATACTGCACAAAATACTCCGTATAACATTTTTTTTGTTTTTTGATGTGAATGTGATTTTTACCATAAGAAGAGATGTTGGATTTATTTTATTTTAATTAGAAATATTTTATTTTATATTTTTTAATTACATCTTGTAAAAATATAAATTTTTAAATACTCCGAGTATAATTTTTTATTTTGTATTTCTTTATTAATTTGTAAATAAAATAATTTTAAAAGTCATGATGTTTTGCACGTTGATAAAAATAAAATGTCACATGCAAACATGACTTTTTTCAACCAATCAAAAATAATTCAGTCACACAGCGGAAAGTGAGTGAAGTAGAACATTATGCAATGACAAGTCATTGTGTTTGTTCTAAGTAATTTACTTTCTTTATTAAAAATTGTTTTAGTCATATTTTTTATTAGAAAAACAATTTTACTACCTTTTTAAATTCAATACGAACTATTTGATATCTAAATTAATACTCCGTAATTATTGAATCCGTAATTATTGAATTTAACAATTCTAAAATCCTAATTAAAGAAAAATAAAATAAATAATCAAAGAAAAAAATCTCAAAAAATACCATCTCAGATCTGCTCAAAAAATCCACCAATCCTTCTCTTCTATAGTCGGCGCTACCTATCCTTCTCTCCCAGATCTGCTCTCGAATGTCATCTAAAAAAATTATTCTTCCTTCTCGAAAAATGAGAAAAAAAGAATAAAAAAATTTAAAAGAATGCTTCGAAGATGGAACGGGAAGTGGGGTGGAACGCCTGGGAAATGCCTTGTGCCACGCTACCACATGCTGATGTGGCTAGGCGTGACAGTGTTTTGGAACGCCGTTGTTGGTGCTCTGAGTAGCAGATTGAGAGTTAAAGTTTGCCCCATGGACTTCTTTGGACTTCCTCTAATACATCCCATCTTGGGATAGTATCACTCCACTAAAGATTTTAAAAAAATCACCTTGGATATGAATACAAAATGTTACTATCTCCGTCCCAAAATATTTGTCCAGTTTGACTTTTTTGAGTCAAACTGGACAAATTTTGAGCTCTAATTACTCTCAATTTATATTATATATTAGCATAATGAAATACTACCTCCGTTTGGAAAAACAATTCCCATTTGGATTTGGGGCAAAAATAAGAAAGTGTTAAATTATAGTTGATTTCCAATTTTGCCCCTGATGTGATGGATAAAAGTAAGATGTGATGGATAGATTATTAGAGAAAAAGTATGATGTGATAGGTAGGGTATGAAAAAGTAAGGATAAAAGTGGTTTTTTAATAGAAAAGGGAAGTGTTTTGTTGGAAGTGGAAAAAATGAAAGAGGAAGTGTTTTTGAGAACGGAGGGAGTACAATTTTGAAAGTTCTCAATACGATAAATCCAATAAATTCATTTTTAGATTAAAATAATTTACGATTTTTATTTAATTGAAACTCAAATTTTGTCCAGTTTGACTCGAAAAAGTCAAACTGGACAAATACTCTGTGACGGAGAGAGTAAAATATTAAAATATGAATTTCAAGTCTTTTAAGATCAAAATAATTGTATAATAATAGTGTGATGTTAGAATATGTGTTAGCATTGTGTTTAAAACGATGAAAATGATTTATGGCAATGTGATAACTCAACAATCGGCGATACGCAACAACACTCTAGTTGCATGCAATGAGAAATAGTAGTGTGATAATGATATTATGACACTTGCATTGTGACAATGCGATGAGTGTGACAGTGTAACAATGACAACGTGAACTCTTATTTTGGTCTTAAAAGATTTAGAACTCTTATTTTGGTATTTTCATTGTTTTTTACTCTTATCAAAAGAGTTTTTTCAAGCAAGAATTTTATAATTGCTTGATGAAAGACTATTAAGGGTTAAGATATGGACAAAAGTGATACTCCGTATAATATTTAGCTTGTACTAGTAATATATTAAATATTTTAAATTGATATGAGATTTTACGTTGTATTGATTGCGATCTCAATCCCAAAATATAATTACAACATAATTCATTATCAGTTTGAGTATAAATCGAGAAAAATTTGTACGTATGTAGCAATTTTAACAACATATACGAAAATTGAAAGTGCTTTAAAATAATAAATAAACATACTACTAAAAACTAAAAAAATGAATAATTTAAAGAAAGAAATACTTATGATGTATACTTAGTTTATATGTCACCAACTAAAGATGACAAATTATAACATAATTCTCTTTCAAATGCTTCCTAATGTTTTAAAAACTATCTCAAAAATGAAATTCAAAAAAATAAGTTTTGTACATAATAAACATTAAATTAAATCAACTTTTCAAAATAATCTTATTTTTTGATAAAGAAATATAAAAAGATCATTATATTTATAATCTTAATACTACTTCCGTTTTTGGGACGCCTCACTCTATTCGTTCACTTTCTATTTTTAGTAAGGTAAAAAGTGTTGGAATGACAAATATGCCCTCCCTTCCCATTCTCTTTACCCATTATCTCTACCATTCTGCCCAACATTATACATCATGCTCTAACGCCTCATTTCTTTACCCTAACAGCCACAAAATCTTTCCTCCAACCTTCCCTATCGATGAAAATACACAGAGACGATGCCTTTGCTCTCTCCGATTCGAGCTCTAGTGTTTAGATCGAGTTCGATGACAGACAAATTGAGGGTAAATTGAGTCGGGTCATCCCCAAATATCGGGTCGTCGACTATGGCTGCAAATAATGCGGTCGGATGAGTCGAATGTGCCCCCCACAGCCGTTCATCATATGAGCAAGGCGAAGAAGACGACGGTTTTGTTTTCCACCACCAGCGTTTTCCGGAAGAAAAAAAAACGAAACGGGCGAACCGGACAGTCAATTATCTCTTCCGCTCTTCTTCGTCAACAATTGAAAACGGCAAAAGGGCGACCCGCAACCACTTCTTCAGTTCTTCTTCAAATTCATTCTTCTTCAGTGCACAGTTCTTCTTATTCAGTTCTCGAGCGCTTCTTAAGTTCTTCTTCTTCATAGAATCTGATGCTCTCACTATCCAGGTATGCTCAATTTCCAAATTTCTAATTTAGGGTTTTTTTGTGAACTTTTGAATTTCTGAATATTTCTAATTTAATTTTTAAATATTTTAGCATGTTCCGTTGTTCCAATTTTCAGACAGATTCCTAAATTTGACTCTTGGAAGTATATGTTTTAATATTTAAATAATTGTTAAATGTTGATGTAATTTCAAGTTCTAGAGATTAAGAGGTATGATGTTTTATGTTTATTGATATTTTTGTGGATCTTGATTATATATACAAATTTTCCTTAATATATTAATGAAAAAACTAGAATAGAAGTAAAATATTGAAAATATATCAAAATAGGAGTTGCATATTTTTATTTTGGGAATAGGAGTTAAAATGCATTTACAATGTCAATTATGACCATATAGATTAACAAAAGGTTTTGTAAAATATCCATTAGAATGTCACATTATCACAATGTATATAGTTATTTACGGCGATAAAAATATGGAGTTCCTATTATGATATTTTTTCTATTTTTTTCTCTTATTTAAGATGATTTCTTTATATTGATATTATAGTGACATAAATATATAGATGATATCTATAAGTGACTTATGCATTCATTTTTTTAAAAATAAAATATATCAAGTTTATAAATATGTTTAACATGAGAGTGTACATGCGTTATAAAAGTAAGTTTCGAAGACAATATTTTCTCTCCTAAGAAATTAAGTGCCGAAAAATGAATGGATGGAGAAAGAGGACGGCTAGGCCACCAAGGCCGGGTAGCCATTTCCAAACCACCAAACCTAGTTTGGACCACTTGGACTTGGCTCAATCCCTAACAGATAGGTTCCCAAATGGACCCTATATCTTAAAACTAGCCCAATGTTAATTAACCCAAGTCCAAAACTTTGCCTCTCGTTCTCTCCAAGCTTGTTATTTATGCATCTTCTTATAGTCGGCTAACCCTGATTTCCCATCAATTTTGTTCTCCACCCCCTGACAAGGATCCGTCCATATATGGTAAAGTTTTATTTCTTCTTATTATTCATCGTTAGTGTATTGAATTAGATCGGTACGAATTGCTCTGTTTATCATTTTTCTAAGCTCTCTATTAATTTTGTTGAGCATTTTGTTCCTCAAATTTGATTTTTTGGATACTCATTTTCCCCATTAGCATACTCTACGACTTCACACATTTTGGGTGCGTAAATACACGTGTCATCAATGACTACTCTTTTCTTAGTAGTGAGCTCATGAAAGGAAGGAAATATGAGTACTCCAACCTACACTGCTCCAACAATCAAAATCGTTTGTATCATCTTAGTGTCAATTTTTTGTCATTGAAATGGACATACCCTTCAATTACGAACTTATCGTACGCATCACTGCAAATGGAAGTCAAATTACGAGCACCCCGATACGGGTAACAACGATCTAGAATCAACCCTTCCTCCTTAGCAAATATATAGTACGCATTTTGCCCACGAATAGCGGAGTTATTGTTTCTAATGGTCTCAACCATGTTGATTCCTTGTAAAAGAAAAAATTCCGAGAGAAAATCAATCATAAATTGGGCACTTAAGCCGCCACCACCATGATGACGCTGTTTAAGCCACTTCTTAAATCCCTGCTTAGCCGTAAAACACATCTCTTCTTCTTCTTCTAATGTAAAATTAGACCAAACAACTTTTTTTGTTCATCCAAAACTTCTTTTGTGAAGATTTTATTCGCCTTGATATCAAAAACAACCTTTTTAACGCATTATGAGCTACAACTATTCTTGTGGTATTAAATAAAAAAAATCTCTAGAACCATCATCATTATAATCATCGTCATGATCATCATCATCATCAACAGATGGTCCTGTGTGTAGAAACAAACAATAAACAAATAAGAATAGAAAACATTTATTCCAAATAAATAGTATCTTCTAAACGGATACTTGAAGTGACTGCTATACTCTTTCAAATATAATGACAAATAAAGCCGATTTAGTTTTAGGAGCAAGTCTCTCATTTCCATGTATGAACAAAAAATGCTTGTATTGGAAAAAACTATAGGAGAAGATCGATCTTAAACTTGGCACTAAAGCAACCACGATGATGATGACGTTGTTTAAGCCACTTCTTAAATATCTTTTTTTCCTTAGCCCTAAAAAGCTTCGTTCTTCTTCTAGTGTAAAATAAGACTAAACAACTTTTTCTCAACAACATCTAAAACTTGTTTTTTGAAAATTTTTTCTTTTGATATCTAAAATTGCTTTTTTAACAAGTCATAAGCTAACATCATATAACTAATACTGATGATGCAAGGCGCATACTTACCAAAAGAGCCTTAATCCTGTGGGTGGTACACAACACGGCCGTTCTTGCGGTATTGAATAAAAAAATCTCTAGAACCGCCATCGTCATCATAATCATATTCATCGTTGTGATCATCATGGCATGTAGAAGAGTTTGCATGACCATTTTCATTTGGCTCGTTATAACGATGACCGAAAGCATAATATGATATGGACCAAAATGATAATCCTCGTAATGAAGCATCCGCTATGTCAACGAGGGCAGTTATCATCTTTGCTTCGCTTCTGAATCTTTCAAGAGCATCTATAGAAATTGCAACAACCTGAATAATTGGCATAACATGAATAGTTACAATTTTGTTAACAACATGTTGCAATTTCTACGGCTGATCTAGAATGGTTCAGGAGCGAAGCAAAGATGGTAACTGCTCTTGTTTACATAGCAGATGTTTCTTTCTGAAGAATATTTTTCGGTTTGGATCATATTATGCTTTCAGTCATATAGCTATAACGAGCCGAATGAAAATGATCATGCACACTCTTCCAGAGGTTATGATATCATGACGATGATTATGATGATAATGGTTGTAAAGATTTTTTTATTTAATACCAGAAGAACATCCGTGTTGTGTACCACCAATACAGGATCAAGGCTCTTTTGGTAGTTGTGCGCCTTGCATCATCAGTATTAGTTAATATGATTTTAGCTTATGACTTGTTAAAAAGTAGTTTTGGATATCAAGAGGATAAAAAATTTCAAAAAAGAAGTTTTGGATGTTGTTGAGAAAAAGTTGTTTAGTCTTATTTTACACTAGAAGAACAAGGAAGCCTTTTAGGGCTAAGGAAAAAAAGATGTTTAAGAAGTGGCTTAAACAACGTCATCATCATTGTGGTTGCTTTAGTGCCCAGTTTATGATCGATTTTCTCCCGATAGTTTTTTTCTATACAACTTGCTCCTAAAACTAAATGGACTTTATTTGTCATTATATTTGAAAGGGCATAGCTGTCACTTCAAGTATTCGTTAGAAGATGCTATTGATTTGGAACAAATGTTTTCTATTCTTATTTATTGTTTGTTTCTACACACAGGACCATCCGGTGATGATGATGGTTTTAGATTTTTTTTATTCAATACCGCAAGAACAACTGTGTTGTGTACTGAATCAAAGTCCTTTTGGTGATTGTGCACCATGTGTTATCACACGTGTCATTAGTATTTGTTGTATGATGTCAGCTCATGATGTGTACAAAAAAGAAGTTTTGGATGTTTTTGAGAAAAAGTTATTTAGTCTTATTTAACATTAAAAGAAGAAGGATGCGTTTTAGGGCTAAGAAGTGGCTTAAACAGCGTTATCATCATGGCGTGGCTTAAGTGCGCAGTTTATGATCGATTTTCTCCTAGAATTTTTTCGTTTATAAGGAGTCAACACGGTAGAGACCATTGGAGACAATAACTCCGCTATCTGTGGGCAAAATGCGTACTATATATTTGCTAAAGAGGAAGGGTTGATTCTAGATTGTTGTTACCTTTATCGGGGGGCTCGTGATTTGACTCCCATATGCAGTGATGCGTACGATAAGTTCAAGATTGAAGGGTATGTCCATTTCAATGACAAAAAATTGACACTGTGGATGATACACAAGATCTTGACTGTTGGAGCAATGTTGGCTGGGGTACTCATATTTCCTTCCTTTCATGAGCTTCACTTATCCTAAGAAAAGAGTAGTCCATTGATGGCAGGTGTATTTACGCTCTTAAAATGTGTGAAATCGTTATTTTTTCCCACAATGTCATCTTCACATTTGTACAAATAAATAAATAGAATAATTGATAATTCCTCTCATAAGTTCCACTTTCCTCAAATCAAGCTTCTCATTATTCACTTTCACATCTTATTCATCCTCCTTTTCTCCCCCATTATAGATATCTTTAGAGGTTTTAAAAATTTTTGGGTGGAATACTTAAAGAGAGTTAGATTTGGGTGAACATGATACAACAACAACAACCAGTTGGATCCCACTACTGTAGGGTCTGGGGAGGGTGTGTACGCAGACTTTGCCCCTACTTGGAAGCAGGGAGGCTGTTTCCAAGAGACCCCCGGCTCAACCTGCACAAAAAATATGATAGGGTATACAGTATAGCATGGATAAAACACCAAGTACAATGAAAAGAAAGTTCTACAAGCATTAATAGAAGATTCCAATCAAACACAACACACTACAAAAAACCTCTATAGCACCGAGTTCCTAACCAGCTACTCTAATCCTAGTTCTCCAAAGGTTCCTATCTAAAGCCATATCCTCAGTCAGGGTGAGAAGTCCTAAATCCTGTCTAATCACTTCCTCCCAATNNTTAAAGAGAGTTAGATTTGGGTGAACATGATACAACAACAACAACCAGTTGGATCCCACTACTGTAGGGTCTGGGGAGGGTGTGTACGCAGACTTTGCCCCTACTTGGAAGCAGGGAGGCTGTTTCCAAGAGACCCCCGGCTCAACCTGCACAAAAAATATGATAGGGTATACAGTATAGCATGGATAAAACACCAAGTACAATGAAAAGAAAGTTCTACAAGCATTAATAGAAGATTCCAATCAAACACAACACACTACAAAAAACCTCTATAGCACCGAGTTCCTAACCAGCTACTCTAATCCTAGTTCTCCAAAGGTTCCTATCTAAAGCCATATCCTCAGTCAGGGTGAGAAGTCCTAAATCCTGTCTAATCACTTCCTCCCAATCCTTCTTAGGTCTACCCCTTCCCCTACTTCCCCTGAAAACCGTAATCCGCTCGCATCTCCGTACAGGGGCGTCAGCATCCCGCCGTCTCACATGACCAAACCATCTCAACCTCGCTTCCCGCAATTTATCTTCCACCGGCACCATGCCTACCTGACGTCGG